CGGTAGCCCTGTACAAGCTCTGAGACACAAAATAATCAATATTTTTGCAGCTCTTCCTCCACCTCTTACATCTCTTCCTCTGCACTTTCTTCCTCCGCGTCCTTCTGCCCTTCCGCGTTCTGCTGCTGTTGCTGAAAGTAGAGCGCAGATCATCCTCATCCTTGACTCTTCCTCTCCCTTTACATACACACTTGAATGCACTACACATGCATCGGGAAACTAGTCGGGAGCATACTGCTGGTGTTGCTGGAGCCGCCGAGTAATTCGCTGGCCACATTTCCTGGAAGGAGATATCCCCGCAGGCTCGTGTAGGTCGGCACCGAATCTCATATTCTATCAGGAGAGGGAAGACGACAACTCCCTCCCTCCCAACGTGCACTACACTTCCGGAACCAATAACGGTAGCCCTTTGCAAGCTCTGAGACACAAAATAATCAATATTTTTGCAGCTCTTCCTCCACCTCTTACTTCTCTTCCTCTGCACTTTCTTCCTCCGCGTCCTTGTGCCCTTCCGCGTTCTGCAGCTGTTGCTACAAGTAGAGCGCAGTTTGCGCCTCCAGGGTCGCCCATCCCTGCTCCTCCTCCGGCGGACTGACCGACAGCTGACCTCGTTCGACTTCATTATTCTCGTTCGGCGTGCCGGCGCCTCCGCCCCCGCCCGCGCCCGCGCCTGCGCCCTGCCCTCGTGACGTCTTCACTTCATGACGCTGCGAAACTCCAACGGCTCTAGCGGTACTACCCTTGGTAACACGGATTGTCAACTTTTTGCAACGCAAAATGTTTTAAAGGCAACCGTTATTTATTTTCTGGGCTTCGTTTTCTCCATATCATAGTTTGTTCGCTTCACAGTTTTGTTTGCGTTCTTCCAGAACAATAAGAGTTTCTTCCCCGCTTTTGAAATATGTGCTAGTTTAATCAAAAAAATGTAGCAAGTCGTATATTATACTGTTATTTGAAATATGCAATACTCAACAAAATTGCTATATAGTTAATATAAATCACAACTAAAATTGTGAAGGAAATATTGTTGAGTAAATTACAAAAACGTCTAGGTCATCAATGGTCAAGAGTTGCGTAAGACCGTAAAAATGGAAAGAATTGGAGAAATCCATTAAAAAAGTGTTTAATGAGTTATTCATGTGAGGTCCTTGAGGTGGCTGCTCGAGGACCAACTTTTTAATGTAAGCCTCCTTGCCCTGTGCAAGAGGCCCTTACCCTAATAGGGATTAGGAGGCTAATAATAATAATAATAATAATAATAATAATAATAATAATAATAATAATAATAATAATAATTACAAGAAATAACTGCCGAGAAACTCCAAAGATTTTTGGAAGTCAATGACTCGAAAATCATGACAGATACGTTTTACAAACACAGCTGGCTACAAACGATCAAACTGGGGCCAGAAGTCAGAGAACTATTCTTCGATTCTCTAGCTTGCTAAATGAAGCAAAGAACGTAATCATACAGAAACGCGCGACGCAATTTGCATTGTACACTTAAGCTTCCGCGGCTGGAGTTCATGACTTCTTCACGGCTGTCCGGGTGACGCAGCGTCGTTGGCTGAGAGGCCGACGTTTCGCCTGTCATATCGCAGGCTACCTCACTACCCTTAGTCACTACCCTCAGGAGGTCCAAGAAGTTACCGAACATCCGTGTAATTTTTAAAGTTCAAAAAACATAGTCTATTGCAGTACTGAATTTCGTCATGAACTGGTGATACAATAAAAACTTTGATTTAGTGAGTCATTCATAAAGCATTCACTAACAGAAAATCCAAAAAAGTAACAAATAGCGTAAAAATGACAAAAATGTCGGGTAAAGTCCAGATAAATGACAAAAAATCGAAAATGGCAAAAATGACTTCAAAGTGTCTCAATAACTAGACATGTCTATTACATGCACGGGCGTGATAAACATTGATTTACACGTTTTCTGCACCTATAATGCACCAATCAAAAGATGACATATCAGAATCCGATCCCTGTTAATTAGCTAGAGAATACTAATCTCAGATGAAAGGGTGATTGACGCTGAATCAGCCCCCGTACATCTTTTCCTTCCTCCTTCAGCTCCTCAATTTCTTCCTTACTCATTTGACGCACTGACGGGCATGATCGGTCACTGAAATACTTTTCATTCAGTCATAAAAGAAAAGTTCACAGATGTACTGCGAATACAGAAGAGAATCCCCTCGAGTATGACTACGTTAAAACCCCTCTTTTTAGCATCTCAACACAAGTCTGTTTGCACATAGAGTAAAAAGCACGAATTTAAATTGCAAATCTTAGTCACCGTGCGGAAGTTGAGGAGTACAAGACGTGCAAACACGTACAAAAAAGTTGCTGTGTATTGTCGCGCTGAATAGGCTTAAACAAATGAACGCGTTTTGTTGTTTAGAGAACCTGCACCGCAGAAAGGCTAACGAACTTGAAAATCGTATCGAGGGAATGCGATGCAGTGTCTTTGACCGGGAGGTTCTATGTTTCGGGTCCCAACGGTGGCACCATTTTCGACAGTAGCTTGTCAACTATGTCGAATTCAGCCGCCGTCTGGAGAAAAATTATAGAGGCTGGCTTCTCTGATCGGCTGTTTTCCATGGTTTCCCCGATTACCAGCACCAGGCGAATTCCGGAAATCAGTGTTTGGGGAAAATCGCCGCAAGTCAATGTATACCGGCGCCGGATATAACCAACCAGAAAGATCACCGCCACTTTCCGAGGAACAACATTCTCTACACTTACGGGACTAATGGCCTTATCGGGTGACGCGCCCGGGACCACCAATCAGCGCAGGGAATGCAAGTGGCTGCGGCGGGTTCAAAGACCGCCCCCGCTGTGCTGACGACGCGGTGATTGCAAGGCGGCGGGGGCGGCGGCGCAGTGAAGGGCAAGGTGATCTCGCGGCGAGCACTTTCGCTCTCCCTCCGTTCTCAGGGGCGCTTCCACGCAGGTCTGCGCGCGTGGCCACAGCCGGATTTTGTACTTCGCCTCCTACCTTCAGCACACAATCGTATGTCCCCGCCCTGGAAAAAATGCTTCCAGCTTTGCTGAAAATTACTGATTGGAATAGAAACACAGTACAAAGTATAAAATTCAAAACATATTATAATGTTACATGCAAACTTTATATTATAGAAAAGTATTTGTATTTTACAGGTAACTTTTTCCAAATATTTTATGAATATTTTTCGAGACCCGGGACACTCAATCACATTGCTTGCTCATTTTGCTAATAAGGAAGTAAGTTAGCCGTCCACATGATATACTACTTCTTCTCTCGGTAGAGATAGGCCACTTCCTTTTCCCATTCGAACAAACTAACTCAAATTATTGACTTGATTAAGTGACTCAAGGTATTGACTGGTGTTACTGCATTGCGTCGGATCAGAAAGTCTTAGGGTTCAAGTCCCAACGGTGACACCAGGTCAAGGAGTGCAACCGCTGTCTGTAGAATTCTAGCGGGCGGCTGCTCTGATCGGAAGTTTTCTGTGATTTCTCCGGCCAACACCAGGCAAATGCCAGAGTAGTTCCCTAACAAACGGGCCACGAACCACTCGCGACATTACCTTCCTCTTCCTTGTCCTATATTCACTAGCATGCACCACACATGTCGCAAGACCAGTCGGGATCTTCAAGTAGTTCCCGGTATGAGACGGTGCTTCGCTGGTGGAAGATACCTGGTTGAGGAATACCCCGATAGCTGACTTGTAGGTCGGTTTCGGATCTCACTATCCAGCGTGGAAAGATAACTGCAACTTGCCTTATACAAACAAAAAAAACTTGCATTACACTTACGTGACTAATGATCACAGCAGTGGACGCACCCAAAACCACTAAATAATCAATAAATCAATTTATTGCACACCCCACAGGCAGCGTAACTTATGAGTGCGTGCGTAGGATCAGTGTCTTGCGATGAGAGTCGCGTGTTATGACCGCGTCTTGTGGATCGTATGTAGCAAACTATTTTTGTGACGCATGTTTGGCATTAGGGAGCGCCTTGTGTAATGGGCTGATTTGATATCCGTGTTAATTCTTTCATAGCAAATTATTTCATTTATGTATTATTTTTAATTAGAATGTCAGTATTAGCAGGTGAATATTCTGTATAAAGCAGCCTAGCAATGCGTCAACTGAGATACTGACGACCCTTCCTGGGATCAAGTGTGCCCATTTATTTATTTGCTTAAACCGATCAAGATGCCATATCAAAATAAATATTTTTTATTATTATCTTCGTAAAATGCTGAACGGGAATGGAATGTCTGCATCCTCAGAAACATCAACGTTCAATATTTACGTCAATCAGAGTTATCGTGTGTTACTGCGTTAAAAAATGTCAGATAAAAAGAGTAATATGTCTAATTACTATAGATGATAGAATTCAAGTGAGCGAACTCAAAATGTGGAGTGCTCCTCATTCCCCTGGGTATTTCATTTGGCATTTGCGAGTGAATGCAATAAACTAAATGCCAATAGCAGGATAACCAAAGTACTACTTCTGACAAATTAATGCGTGGATCTGACGGATGGTCATCGTTTTTTATAAATTTATTTCAGCTTGGGCGGCATCCGAGTACGATACATTGGATATGTTTAAACATAATGATTTGCATTGGATTACATAATAGTGTTGTATCAGTGAATGTAATGAGAAAACACATCAGGAGAACGCGAATCATGAGTAAAAAAGTGACGTTGGAATTTTTGTTTTAGTTTTTATGGCGTGGTTATTAATACCCGATTTTGATATTTATGGGTTTGGTGTAGAAGCGACAAGATAAGATGAATTAAGATAGAAACGATGACGATTTCATTACGATTTTGTGGAATTTGATATAAACCAGGATGCTTTTCTAATGGTTCAAAGGAATTTGTTTTGAAAAACTTTCATATTTAGAATTTTTGATTTGCACTCAGAGAACCAGATAAGAGAACCGTAGAAGTCTTTCCCGAAGTGCGTGTAGTATGTTGAGCATCGGCGTGTGTTGCAGCACCTGCGCCTCTGGAACGACACCTTAAGCTACCAGTACTGGCAGAAGCCCGGGGTGACGCGGCTGACCAAGGTGTTCGTGTTCAACGTGACCAACCCCGATGGCTTCCTCAACCACGGCGAGAAACCGCGCCTCGTCGAGGTGGGGCCGTTCGTCTACCGGTGAGTTGAACCTCCGGCTTGTGAGTTGAGCCCACGCTGCCAACTCCGCTCCGCTCCGCCCGCTTTGCCCGCTCTGACCGCTCCTCTCTGCCCCGCTGTCCATCCCACCATGCTGTCCCGCCCCCAGCCCCGTGTCACCCCGCCCAGGCCCGTTTTGCCTTCCCAGCCCCGCATCACCCGTCCCGTCACTTCGGTGGCTCCACCCGACTCGCCCTTTCC